AAAGAGGACATAAAGCAAGTTGTGGGGTAGACTTGAAATAGAGATCTGTGATTTTAATGTTAATCGAACAAAAGCAATCCCCAAATCCAAGAAACCGTGGAACTTAATGGCAGCTCTAAGTTAGCGGCCAATAAACTCGATTGAACAGGACCTCAGCAACAATTTCAGTCGTGACAGTAGGTGCAGCATGTGAAATAAATTTACTAACCCATATTAACCATTCGCTCAGACAGCTCTACACCCACCACTTTTTGGTATCTTTGCAACCGTGCTTCCAAGTCCTTCCTTTTCCTGGGGTCGATTGCTTGTTGTATCTCCTTCAGAAAGAAACAACCAGTGAGAATAAAAGGCAAGATAAATTTTCCCAGGCCACAACTCAAAGATATCTATCTGTATTCCTGTCCCCTATCCAAGGATTCAGGTTCCTTTCTCAGACACAATATTTTACTTCTACCATATTGGATTCATCCGATGTTGTAAAGAATTTTCAACTCCAAACAACAGCACTACCTATTATTTAAGGGGTTTATTATATTATACAGCAGTGCCAATTTTAGATAAGGAGACAGATGATACAAAAAAATGAACTTTCCCCTTTCCAATAGTTACATTCTTCTACTTCCATTTTCAAGAAAAGAACCAGGCAGGGAACACGGTAAAAGAGCTTTGAAATAACATGCAAGTACCTATATTTACATACCTTGTACTTACATACCTTATATCTCACTTGAGATCCTCTCAACCCAATTAAAATTTTAGTCACATCCCCATCTTCAATTCCAAGAGACATCAGATCACTGGTTTCTGGTTCTAATTCATCATCAGAACTTTCAGATTCAGGCACAAGCATTTCTTCATCATCATCCATACGAACATCATTTCTGTCTTCTCGGTTAATCTCATCCTGTTGCAATTCCAAGGCACTTTCTGCAACTCCAGAATTGGAGGACTCCCCATTCTGTAAACTGGCATAATCAGATAAGACAGCATACTTCTTTTTGTCAAGTAGAGGCCTTGCTACATCAAATGGAACCCACCTGGAAACATTATTTCAGCTTATGAGACATTTGAATGCCATGCATATAGGCAAATCAAGCTATAAACACAAATGGGCTTTAATCAAAATGTATATTACCACTTAGGTGAATAACATCAGATAAATGGATACCACTTAAGTGAAGGGCTATAATCAAAACAATATAATGAGGGCCTATAATTGAAAATGCATATTACCATTTAAGTGAATAACATCAGGTAAATAGATCACTGATATGTTGAGAAAGTACACATCATTGGGCTTGGATTATTGATTAGTGACTAGATGCAGAACTTACTTGTATTGAAGAGGACAAAGAAGCTCAGATGGGCGATATGCTGCTTTATATCTCATCTTGCTGCAGGAATATATATAATAACCAAGATAATAATACTGAAGACTGGGGCAACTGACTTGATTCTCTTTTACCCAACCTATCTCTTGGATAGCAGAATACTTACCCAGTGATAGAAAGGCATAATCAGGGTCCCAGATTAAGTATTTACTTGACAAACATCTAGGAAGGATATCTATAACACCAAATGCAACTAGCTGACCATCAATTAAGTATTGCTGATGGAAAGAGCCAAAGCCACAGGGAGGAACCAGACCATCATTTGATGGTTGAACAAATATTAAAGGAGTTTCAACCAAAAATCCCATGTATAAGCTCTCTGTGACATGATCAGGTGAATCATTGTGCACTTTAATCTGATATCTCTCATACAATTCATACTCTTCACGATCAAAACTAGACCTTTTTAAACGAATCTCAAGCTTCTTTGTTCCTTGAGGATTTATAAAGCACTTAGAAATAGATAAAGAGCTTTTGCTTCCACTCCCTGTTGCAGATTCTTCAGGTAGAGTAACAATTTGAATGTTTCCATCTAAATACTCATCTTTTCCAGAGGAATGAAAATTGATATGTCCATTGTAAGCCCTAACAGACAGACCAGAAAATTTGGTCAACTGATTTAAAGAATTCACAACCTTCTCTGCAATAAATTTGGACTGCTGGACATCCTTCCCAGCTGATTGTGCACGCTTCAATGTGGCTTCTATTTGGAAGGCAATGTTGCTTGTATATACAAGATCTTCGGATCCTTCAAATAAAGGCTTCTTTTCGGAATGTGAAACCTTTTTCACTAAAGCTTTTGGCAATTGAATGCCTGAAGGAAATTCCCCAACCTCACTGCATGCATGCATCGCATTGTCAATTTGATTAGATAAATGCTGCATAAACTCTTCTGTCTTTTTCTCTCCTTTATTCTTATGAGACAAAGATTCATCTGCTGCTGAGCTTGAAACTTGATGGACGCAGCTGCCAGTAGCTGGATCCTCTATAGGTTGAACTGGTTTTTTGACATCCAGTGTGCCATCCAGAAACCTAGGCATATACCAACATCACAACTCAATGAAACAACTTACTCCTAAAAGAAAGAGGGTGTGTGCGTGTTTATTTAGAAAATTAAAATACGACCAATACACTGAGAAAATTTCTGGATATTTCTGGATATCTGTCATTAATTAAGACCGAGCCATCATTTTAGGCACAAAATATCCAAAATTTGAAACTCTAGCAAAGGACAAACAAAACCCCTCAAGTATTCTAACCTTGATGTACCATGGCTAAATAGTCAATTTCTAAGGGCTTATAGGCTATGACAACATTTCTTGAAAAGGTTCCATTTGAGAACTTATAGCAAAAGGAACAAACAAAGAAATATTATAATATTATACCTCTGCATTCGTCTGTACACTCGATTTTGCTCTTTTGAAGGAACAAAATCACTTGCCTTCAAACGAATGGTATATGATGGGCAACATGTCGTTTCCATCTCAGGTTTGTAGAGGAAGCATCCAGATCTCCTCCATCCCTGGTCAAGTAGATCTAACAAAATAGACATAATTAAATTAGGCAACTAGAAAGATAAAAATAATCAGAAAAAGGAAAATATAATTTATGCAGACAAAGATCATCCAAGCATGAAGAATTGTGAGAAAGAACAAAAAGCTAATGCATCTCGCACTGGCATAGAAATAATGGCCAACAAAATCCACAGGCAGATTTAAGGACAATGTTAATACAAAGAAAGGGAAGAATCATTACAAAAGAGCAGGCCTAGAGGACACTTAACTATGTTGATTCGATGACTCTGATTCAAAGCAAAAAATTTAATAGGAATGCAAACAAACATTGTTATGAAAGCTGCCGACAGTATATGTCAGAGAAAAAGGAAGTTCTTCATCAATGTACCCATGGAGTTCTCATCCAGGAACCAGAAAGGTCCTTACTTGTATCACTAGGATCCACCTGACTGGATCAGGTGCTACTACTAATGGACAGACAAAACAAACGAGACAATATTTTTCAAAAATCAATTTTATCGTTCTGAATAGCACTTCCACTTCTTAAGTCTTATCTATTATTTGTTTGAAAATAAATGAAATAGAAATAGCATTACATTTGGGGGGAAAAAAAAAAGAGCAATTGCATTACCATGTTGTTTTGGAACAAGTCTAAGAAAAGTTTCTCTCTCTGTTCCTTTTCATAAACTTTTCCTAAATGACAGACCTTTTCGTCATTAGCTATGACAATCTCAATTCTACATAACTTTATCATTACTATACAGATGCTACAACCAGCAAAAACGTGATTACAAATTAGAGGTTTTAATATTCTTGTGTATGATTACTAATATTAATTTTGCAATTTGCATAAAAATGAAGAATAAATCAACCTTGATAGTCATCAACTGTAATGCTTTGTGCCCAGAGACCTGCAGAAACAAGGTCAAGTAGAATAGTGAGAATCAGAAAAATCACGTCTTGAACTCCGTCTAAACACTTCATAAATGGCAGTATTGCAGTAATCTAGTTACTCAACAATATCAATATTTTGTGTCCGTCGACAAGTCTCAAGAGCGGCAGAACACAGTTCTATATCTGTATATGTCAACTAACTACAAATCATCGTTACCCGCATTCCACTTGGTGTCCTCAGTGCCCAGATCGTCTAGTTCGGTAATCATGGCACAATACCACAAGTTTCAGGGAACATATTAAAAAATTTGCAAAATTATGACAATCAATTGAAGAATTCATGTCAAACAGAACCGAAATAACAACAAAAACAAAGTTCAATTGATCCGAATCACGAATGCATCAGGGAAAACCCTCTAATACGTGAAAAAAAGAAAAAAAATCAGCAAAAACAGAACAAAGAGCAGGGATTCAACACGACTGACCGTGAGAGATGCTGGTTCGAGCGCCAGATTTGCAATAGCCACAAGAGCTTTTCTGCCGACCGCAATCCGCCACCACGCTCCGTCCTCTGTTATTGATGTTGCTGCTGCTAGCTTCGCCTCTCATTTTCGATTTCTTCACGCCAAGATTTCAGCTTCCGATCGCCGAAATTGCAGGTCTTGTAGCTTCAAAGCCGCCGTGAACCTTTCTCTCTCCCACCTCCGTTTATCTCCGCATCTAAGTATTTTTTAGGCTTCTATGAAATTATTTTATTTTTATTTGATTTTATTTTTTTGTTTTCTTATTAATGAAGAAAATGCAAGATGCTGACCT